CATTCAGTTTAAGGTAGAGAAGTGGGTTCTGGATTTCAAGTCTGTCATTGAAAAATAAGAGAGGAAGAAGGACAGAAAAGATGCTTATGGGCTGAAAAAAAATGCCTACATAAAATAAGCTCAATCTTTTGCTTCTTTGAGGTTTTTGGCCGCTGTCACGCTGGCTACCATTCCAAGCCTGGCCCAAATGCCATGGGAAGTCCAGTTCCAGAGTTGGGTTTACTGGCCAAATTTGTGTCTGGGTTGAACAAGATCATGGAAAATTGAAGGAGCCGGATTCCTTTCCCGCCGCACCCCCTCCCTTTGAAAGAGTCTTTGAGAGGCTGGCTGAGCCCAGAGCCAACCAAAACTGAGCTGGAAGATGAGAAATGGTGCTTTTAACTTGACTTTTCTTGCCTTTTCTCCTCCTTCTTTCCCTTCTTTCTGCTGTGTCAGCTCAGACTGGAAGAGCAACACTGTGGCCTCAGAGAGAGCTCATTTTCTTTCCATTTCTCTTTTGCTCCTTTCTTCTCCCTCCCTCCCTCCCTCCAGTGCCTTCTCCCCTCACGCCCCCTCCCCCACTCCCAGGCGTCCCCTGGGGGCTTGCCTTTAAGTCTGAGCAGCTGTGAATCTGGCCTGGGGCTAGGGTGGGATTTGAGCCCGCGGGTGGGCTTGCTGCTGCAGGGGGAGGGTCAGCTGACCCTAGGGGTCAGAGGTCACCATGAAGTCCGAAGCACTCTCCTCTTAAGGGGGGGAGGGACTGGGGGTGTCTGGCTCTTGAAAAGGGAGAGTGATTTTTATCTGAAGTTTTCATTTTGTATCTGGGCAGCAATGTCTTTAAAACCTGAGTTATTTAATGCATGGGATATAAAACCACTGCAGGCCCCCTGCATCCAGAAAGTTGGAAGACCGCCACAAACAGACCAGGGCCCAAGGAGGAACCTGGGCAGAAGTGAAAAACAGGGATACGGTTGCCCTGAGAGACAGGGAGGCAACCTGGAGAGGTTTGATTTGGGTTTGACATTTTGATCAAAAAGTGCAATTCCCAGAGGCCACCTTTCAATTGTCACCTGGGTTTTTTTCGAACAATAAGATTGATTCCATATTTAAAAAAAATAAATTAGCATATTAACCAGGAACCCAAATCCGCCTTCCTCTTTGTCTAGAGAATCCCCCACTTTTGTTTCTAGTTCTGACTCTGATTTTTTTCCTCTTTTTTTAATCCAAACCCAGAGGAGTGACTGGAATCCTCCATGCGAGGGGAGGTGGCCTGGCCACTGGGCTCAGCTTGGTTCTAGTATCTCCTGGATTTGCCCTGTATTGGCCAGAGGGTTAAAGCTGAAAGACCCACAGCAATCCAGCCCTTATTTGACAGTCAAGGATGCTGAGAAGTGCCCAGTCCCTTGCCCCAAAAGGTGCAGGAGAGCAGGGCGTGCCCTCAGCTTCCCTCTGAATGTCTAGACATTGCCCAGTTCCACCCTCCCCACAGTCCCAGGGCTCCTGATGGGGTCTGGTCTAAGCTGTGGTAAACCCTTGGCAAATATTACCCCAAGCTGTCCTCCCATGATGGGAGCTGAGAAAATGAACTAAGAGCTCAGAACATGGAGATGCTCTGGCTTAGGTGAAGGCATGAAGTAGCCCCAACATGGAGAATAACCCGCTTTCCTTTCAATCACACTCTGTTCCATGCCAGCCTCGCAAGCAAGCCAGACTGGCCTAGGCCAGTGGTTTGGTGAGGGATTTGGGCAAGGAGGATGGCGAGGGGAGCGATGTTCAGCCAGACTTCAGGTCCACGTGCTAAATCTCATTTCCTGAACTGCCTGGCACTGCCTGGGGGTGGACAGGCTGGTGGAACTGCGCAGGCTGGAGCACTAGT